TCTCTAATTTTGGTGAATATTTTTGTAATTTTCGGTAAAAAGTGATATTTTTGACACAAAATTATTTTGGGGTATTCCACGCTTAAAGCGGAGGGGTCGTCACCTGCGAACACGGGAGAACTGAGTCCCAAGAGATGAAAAGTGAAATTTAAATTCAAAATCGATTTTTGCTGCAAATGTTGTTCTGTGTTTTTCATTCAATACGCAAGATCTTGCAGTGAACAAAAAAACACCTATTTATCAATATACATGTATATCATGTCATCATAATATTGCTGCCTGTCAAGACATTTTACTTGTGTGCTTTATAAGTATATAATAATACTGTATATGCTTGATTAGTAGTGCATGTACTTATGTAAATTATAGAGGTATTTCAATAATTAAACGAGTCATTAGTTCATAATTCAATATAAAACAAATGTGATTGTTGGTTTATAATTATATGCACATCTTTTCTGTGGTGGTAAAAGTTACATACTAATTACATACATAACATTTATATAATTTTTGCATAATTTTTCCCAACAAAATTTGTGATGATTTATTTCATTAATTTAATTACACAATGCACAAAATTATTGACTTACAAAACTGTTATTGCTTGAAGAGTGTTACAACTACACAAAAGTTTTCAGTTTTCAGCAACTTATCAAAATTTGCAATGGCCCAGTATAAATGGCACTATGACAGTCAAGAAAACGACTGTGGTAGAGTCAGACTAATGTGGCAGTAAAACAAAGCACTGTCGTGGTACCTCTACACTGTTTGAATCCTAGGGAGAACATTGCCTATTGGAGATATGCTTTTAAATAGAGCAAATAGGATAATCTTTATTGAAACTGTATTCCAGTGTGGGATCTTGGTAGAGTATACAATAAAGTAACACGTACATGTACAAAAAAAGAAATGAAAACATAATAACAAAAATGAGATAAACTGAAGAAAAAAAAAATTCTACACTGTATATTAATATAATTATTGTTGGAGGTGACTGAATTGTTAAGAAAAGTTATTCGCTCAATAGTGCAATGTTTAACCCCACCGATCATTAGACCAGCAACCAAAATAAGATTGCCGTACTGCTGGTTATGCAGACGTTGATCCTGGTCAATGATACAACGTCACATCTTCACGTTAACTTTCCTACTAGTGCATTTCCAAGGATGGTGGAAGCATACAATGGATATGAAATGATAAATGTTTGTAATTATCACAAGCTACTCGCAAGAATTGTCATATTTGAAATAGCCATATTTATAACAAATCTTATTGGTCAATATCTTTGCTACATTGTATCACGACAAATAAGATATGACCACCAATACACATGATTATTGTTTTTTTATTGCACATCATAGGCCCGTCGAGAGAGGAACAGAAATATAGAACTTTGTTAATGGATTAATTTGCCTGGTTTTGAGAAGATCAACCCATTTCACTTTTACTCCTGCTGTTTTTTCTTTCATTATTAAAATATGTTGGCAGACCCCCCCCCCCCCCTCCTCCATTTATTATCACTGACATTTAATTTCACTATTTTGATGTTTTGAGCATATTCGCAGTGTTTTAATTTTACCAATTTGTCAAAGAAACAACAAGTTTCATTGTTATTTTACATGTCCAAGTAGATTTAATTTAGTGAATTTTACTTATCAGCGAAAATAGAGAAATTAAAACCAAGTGAATGCATTTTTTTTTGCCTTTTGACAGATTCAAAAGTACCGGTAATCATGTGTATCTTATACATATATTTTTTTTGAATATTGACAATATGATTATGTTTGTCTTCCCAGGGATTTACCTCAGTATGGACATAAACAATGGCAGTCTTACTTCGGGAGAACATTTGATGTTTATACAAAATTATGGAAATTCCAGCAACAAAACAGGTAAGATACCATCCCACCTGTACTGAATATAATGACACCATGTAGTGTTTCTAGAGTGACAAAGCTATGCTAAACACACAAAATTTACAAATTCTATTTTTATACATTTAAAAGAATGTAATGTCCTATAAAACATTTTGTCCTGTTTTGACGTGTTTGAATGTGTTACGAATATCTTCCTTTTCTGAAAATGCGAGTCGAATGTATGTCAGATTCAAACTCTTTCCTTTGTTTACATTGGACGTTGCATATCATGCCCGTTTATGGAAGTAGACATGCATCAATGAACGCAAAACAATTGCAATCGCATGAATTTTGTAAAATGCTTTTCACTGGCGTTTTTACTTAAATTAGGAGCAAATTTATAATATAAACAAGGCTATGTGGCCGTCAATAAAATTGTCTTTATGTGGTATATTTGTTCTTCTCTTGCAATACATGTTTGTCTTCCTTGACTAACACAGATATTAAGAACTAAACTCACAAATAAGTTCCATTATCTGTAAAATAACACGAGTTGGCAAAGCTGGAATTTTGTGTGATGTACATGTACTATAATTTCATTTCTTTAACGATAAATTTCTGTGACTCATTTTATTGCTTTAAAAGCTTGTAATGAAGTTCATTCATCATGCTGGCAGTCGCTACGACTTTCAGGAAATTTTCTCGCCACAAATGTTCAAATTATCAAATTAGGAACATTTCTATTGGCACAATGTAACGATTTACACTCTTTATTCGAGTAATCAGAACTTAATATTGATCAACAATGTATTTCATATCAAGGCGCCGTTTGTATCGGCATGAAACCTCTTACATGGACTCTGTAAATGTTAATAATTGCTATACTCGTGGGGATAAGTTTTTTGTTCAAGTTAGAAGCAATTTTCAACACAGCTATCGGAAAGCTTTGTTGTATGGTGTCATCTACTCAGTATTAAATTACACAGCACTTGCGCATAAGGATTTCCTGGGATTGTTCATTTTGAATACAGGTATATAAACTGATTGATTAGTACTGGGATTCTAGTACGGCATGTGAAAGAGTTACTGGGACAATGATTACTAGTATTTCTTTGCTCTAGAAATCAAACGGCTTTGGGTTTGAGTTCTTGGTGTTGTATCATGGGGCAAGTTACTTTTACTGTGAATGGATATGGAATGTTTGCCACTTAAGTTAGTTTGCCACCAATGAATAAACATACTCGGTACTAAGAAATCCTCGAAATCCAGCAAGAAGGGTCTGTTTACTGTAATGTTCAAAATTCTAAAATAAAAATATAGGGTCACTGAACTAAGTTTTAAAATTGCATGTTTTGATTAGTTTACAATTGGTTTATATGGCAGAAACATTTCATCATATTTCAAAATTTTGTTTAGTGACATATGCATTTGTACATGTACTAAAGAAAATGATACATGTATGTAGTTTAATATGGCTGTAATGAAAAATTAGAGAATTTAGTATATAGTTAGCTATGGGATAATGTGTTTACATGGATTCCTATAGAAAATGTTTCAAAATGGCTGCCCTTTGAATTGAATTGAATTGAATTGCCCTCTGGATTATTTTGCGTATGTTTTTTTGTGAACATATTGCTCTTGAATGACTTGCATGTATGTGAATCATTACACAACAATTTTTGAATGATTTACTGTGATCATTTTTTTTGCTGTATTAATGGTACTGAACTACCTTAACCCATGTTTACCTTTACCGCTATATACATTTCTATCAGCTAGGGAGTGCGATGTGAGCTGGCGATGGTCAAGAATAAAAAAATTAAGCATGTGTGCCTTGACCAAAATAATAAATAAAAATTTGTATGGATTATCTGGTTTAAAAATTATCTTGAAAATGTAAGAAAATTACAAAATGTCTAATTTTGATGGCGAAAGTGTGGTAGTGTTCTCTTCTGAGTCCTTTGCTTACTTTAGTTCCAACATGCTTGGATTTGTAAAAAATCAATAAAAGTTATTGATATGTTAATTATGTGGCGGGAATTTATATGCAAATTAGTCGCTTTTCTTAGCCATGAATTGTGGGTTGGATGGAGTATAGGGGTGCTGATGGTGAAAACATATGACAAACAATAATGTCACATTCTGTTGATTGTCTTATTTCAGAACCTATATCAGGTGAAAATCATAGCTGTTATCTGATTTCCAGTATTATCTCAAAGTGCTATTCTGACAGTGATCGCCTCTCTTTCCATGTATGATTGATGGTATCTATAGAAACATATACCTTCTATCACTGTGACCTGAAATTGCATGTTACGTTTATCCCACAAACCTGCTGTGATGTGACTAACGCTTCCACATGCTTGCAAACGCTTCAATACTCCATGATTAACTGTATTTACACTTTGAGTTTCAAAATCAATAAATTCAATAGACCTCTTTCGTAAGGTCATATGACTTTTACTGTGTATGGTTGTGTGGATATATATACATATATGGTTTATACTACTGGTATGTAACCAAGATTTTTACTGTAAAATACCCACAGAGCATTAATTTTGGTTTTATTTTTCAAATTACATAATACATTTTTCTGCAATATTCTTGACTGATTTAATTCATAATAATTCATACACTGTATTTTTCTATAAAATCATTGAAATCGCTGATATTGGTCGTATTTCATGGAAATCATTCATCAAGCTGGTGCTAAAATTCAATAAATTATGTATATATGTTTTATTAGTTTATATAGGTCATACATATGTGGCTATAAATTGTAATTTATTCATTTTTTTTATTTTAAACACCATAATTTTCCTGCTAAAATTAGTGCAGCAACATTGTCATGTGTTATTCAATAATCTCATTGTTAATTTTTTACCAAGTTTCGATTATAAATAAATTAATTTATTATAAATAAAAATTGTGAATAAATTTATGTGACAAAAGATGGCTTTTGCATACAAATAATCTAACGATTTCTCCATTTTAAGGCGGAAATTATAAATAATTCTTGAATACATGATTTTGAGTACATTTCTAGCCCTTTGTTGGTTTGAAATTAGAATTCTATTCTATGTATTGTTAAGCTTACAATTGGAAACTGTAAGAACAACATTACTCCATAGTTTCTGTGATCAGAGTACATGTAGTAGAAAGAGATATGGTCATGACAGCTTATGTGTACATTGTGTTTGTACACGGAATTGGTTGTCTGTCGTCATTGAGAATAACACACGACTGTTTGTTATCCCGTACATGTACACACCTGAATACATTCAACTCCACCATTCACCTGTTCAGCTGAAACTGGGTTTAAACATTTGTATGCTCCTAAAAAAGACTGTTATTATATCATAATGTTTCTTGTTTGTGACATCAGACTATGCAATGCATTGTCACTACTGGTTCTTGTATATAAAAAAAACTCACACTTATAGCTGTGGAAAAACAAATTAAAACTCATCGTTGTTGTTGTTGTACATCCCCACTTAACAGTGCCTCTTATTAGATACTGACACTACTGTAAATGTATTAATTATTCACTCCGTTTTATTTTTGCCTTTATATAGTAAAATTCACTAAATTAAATCCATATAAACATGAAAAATAACGAATGACTCATCATTTCTCTCTCAAATTTGTGAACTTAAAACCCACTGAATACCTGTACACTCAAAACATCAAAATAGTGGAATTAAATGTCAGTGAAAATAAATGGTTTTACAGTAAATCATCTTTTGATTGATTGCACTGTAGGTAAAAAGCATGTAAAATAAATATGAAATGCACCCATACTTTGTATGATTAGGAAAGCTGTTTAGCAATGCATGGCTGAGTAATGCATGTACACTCAATTGGTCACCATTCAAGGATCATACACGTAATGCTTATATAAAATCAAGTCCAGTCCTATTCATTATATTAAATGATGCTTAAAATATTTTGTGACTGATAGTTTTCATAATGTCTACATGTGGACATTTATTATGTAAATATTAAAATTTTATGATTTCAAATACATGCTGACCTTTTCACCACCAGACTTTCGTGCTCAAATTTTTTTTCTCCAATATTCTTGGAATGAACCCTAATTTTGGAGCCAACAGACAAAATTTTAATCAATTTTCAGTTTTTACTAAAAAAAAATTGGCTATTCTTGTCCCAATCTTCTTGAGGAAAGTGCAGACTATAAACAGGACTATTTTGTGATGAAAAGAGGGAACTGGTGGTGAAAAGATTAATGCACTACAATAAGCTATGTTGTCAGCCTTGGAATACTGTGGAATGCTTTATTTTAGCTGGAATTAATTTTCGCTGAAAAGGCTTTTGGGGCGTTTTGTATGGAATTTATTTTCACTGATTTTTGATGAGTTTAATGTGAAAGTATATTCGCTGGATTTTATTTTTACGGAATCATTCCTTCAGCGAAAATAAATTCCAAGCAAAAATAAAGTATTCTACACTAGTTGTTGAATCAGTATCATTTTCGATAGTTACAATTACTAAATATTATCCACTACATGTATACATGTATCATTTTTTAAGGGCAGTAGTCGTCACACCTTGTATGCATTAGATATATGGGTCTCATATAAACAAAGATGGTGACTTTGACTGTTGCGCAGATCAACGAGTACAAACTGTGACATTACCAAGCTTTAATTGGGTATATTTTAGGTAATGGGAAGGTATCAAAGAAGTCACCCGCGGTAATTAGTGCTAGTTGTGCCCATGTCAAACCGTATATTTGTGGTTTCCATTAGAAGAGCGCATTGGATTGTGGGAAAATCAATGTTTATCAACACAAATGTCGCACATGTGCAGTGCGATGACAACTGCTCTTTAAACTATATCAGATTTGCAAGTGTCTGTTCATCCATCCGTTGTTGTCAGTTAAAATTTGGCACACCTTGACTGCTTTATTCAATTGTTACTACCGTAAATTACATTGTGTTTCAACATCACTGATTATGCTAAGTATAAAGACATATCTTGTTTACCGATTTTAAATACTCAAACTTAAAATTTAGTAATCCAGATTCACAGTATCAAGTTCATACTAGGAACTGCAATCATTTTTCACATGTCTCATTATCATATTAATTATGTATTTTGCTCCAGGAGTAACACATAAAACTTTCATATTATGGGATTTCCTTCAGGCAGTATTGAAAGTAAGCAGTTTTCCATTAAAAATGAAAGACTGGAAAGGTCATGCTGCAAATAACGTAGACTTTGATTGAATAGTTGTCTCTTGGATGAAATTATTTCAAAAAATATAATGAATTTAATGCCTCTCTGGATTCTAATTCTCTATTCTTGTTTTTATTGAGGAGAATAATAAAGAATTTAACTTCAACTGAGGGAGATAATTTACATCTGTCTCTGTAATTGTAGTATCAGAAAAGCAATCTAAAGTTTGTTTGTTTAATTGACTTGTCATTTCAAATTTACTGAGTAAGTTAATAATTGTCAAGTTCGCTTGGTGATAAATTTTTCTTTCGTTCATCTTCTGTCAAAAGTGCATACTGATGCAAGTAAATGTCATCATAATTATTTCTAGTTTGCAAACCTGTCAGTACTGTCAGGTTTTTTGAATATGACGTTTTTAATTGAAATTTGCTTGTGATGTTGTTTGCCAATATCATGATAGTGTTTTATTTGCATGTAAATGAAATCAATGGCATGCGATCACTTTCTCTCATCGGTGATTTGCATAAAACGAGTATTACATTACATTGTTTTCCCTTCACGTGACCAGATGTTTACCAGATAACCAACAGGAATAGGCCACTTTCATGACCCCTAAAGGTCACACATCCTGGTACTTCCATGACCCCTAAAGGTCACACATCCTTGTACATCTTTGTTTGTATGAGAGTATTGCTGACATATACAATTAGG